TATTGTTCAAGCTTAATGTTCGGTTGCATAGAAAGCTTTACGAGACACAGGCTAAGTCCCGTTTTGGTCTTTCCGCATGCTATCTTCCCCAACATCTAAGTTTTTGTTGTGATGAAAATTATTTCTCTGATCAATCTCCCGAAAATGGATATTGGGTTTTTGAGTCGTTGCTCTCATTCGCAGTAAAACAATTGCGTGAGCATCATCGCTGGCATGCTTATATTTTTACACTCATAGGTCAAGACAGCCTAACGTTTGTATGCGGTTCATATGAAGTAAATAGGGACAAACAAACCAATTCCCCGTGAACAATTGGTGTGTAAGTGAGAAGTACTGTAGTAAGATGACTCATACGACAAGTAATTTTTTGCTTCACACTTCCCTTGCCCAAATTCTGCTATAAACCGGTTTAAGCAGAAATAAGTAAGCTGCAGCCAGATTCATTCTTCCTTGCAGACTTTTACTGAGAAAAAATCTATGGGATGTAATTGGCTTTCATTCTTTGGCAACTAGTCGTCTAAATAGTGAGTTAGAATTAACAGGTGCTTTCCCTTGGAAGGTTAGTTCAGGTGTGCGAAGAAAAATGGAATTAAGACTGAGTGCACAAATGCATTGAAGTGTTCCTAACCCCACATTGTTGAATCCCAAGCAAATACATTATTCTTCTTCGTATCTGTGCTTTACTAATAAATCCTCTATATGTTTCCCTATCAGTTGTAAAACTCTCAAGTTAACTGCTGCTGGATTCCATTAGATATAAGGAACTCCATATTTATTAAAATAGCTTATGATATAAAGAACTTTAAGGAATTTGAGAAACATAAATCCTTCTGCATACGCGGCAACCCAAATGTTTGAAAGGTTGCCATGGAAACGCCTGTTTTCCCCTAAGATTGCTCTCCAGGCTCCACCTATATCCATTCTAGACGTCCAATTCCCTTACTACGTTTTATCTGATAAGTTTAACAAAAATAAATGCCTACTCTAGTTTTCAATGTGTTCACCTTAGGAAAATTATGTTGATTTCTTCCTACGATTTAGTTTTTGCCACGATCTCTGCTTTAGCCACGCTACCGCATTATATATTTATACAACAAATGAAAAATTTTGATAATCACATTCAAGAATAATTTAATAACTGAGGATAATTTCTTCGAAGATCTCTTCTCATAACCATAAATTATTGTGCTTTTCGTTTTCCCGTTTTATTTCTCTGCTTATCTGACTTTCTAAGCTTATCTTTCGCGCTTCAGTATCATGGAGGAGTCCGAGGAATTAACTAAAGACACAGAATTGGATGATTGCAATGAAGAGCAGGAGTCCATCGAGGTAATGCGGTCATGTATTGGGTTTAAGAAAACCAATTTCACTATTCTGACAATTCTTT